TTTAATTATTCACATTTTTTGATTTTTTTTGATCTTTTTTTACTCGAAATAGAAAGAAAAAAATGTTMAAAGCTCAGATTCTCAAACTTTTGAGAATCATGTCCAAATTTTTTGGAAACTAAAGTAAAAACATGCTTAAAAAAAAGGTAATTCATAAGCAAGAAAGAGGACGCAAAAAATCAGAGAATAGAGAGTGAGAATAAAGAGAGGAGAATAAAGATTAGAGTAAATAGAGAAGATAAAAATTTTGTTTTGTAAAGTAAATTTTAAAATATATGATTTTTAAATAAATAGAGAAAACAATTTTTGAAGAAGAGAGAAGAAAAAAGAGAATATTAAAAAAGGTATTCACATTTTTTGCTTAATTTTATTGCTTTTACTTTCGTTTACTTAGAATAGAGAGAAAAAAATGTTTGTGGATCAAACCCCAAATTTTTGAGACTTATTTTTGAATTTTTTTTGTAAATTATAAAACAGCGAGACTCGTAGGGTAAGTCGGGGAGAAAGGGAACCACATTTTGAAAAACCTTTAAACCACGAATTTTTTTTCCCATAGAGCCCATTTGACCCAAAATATCGGTTGATTTCTCAGTAAACATCTCGTTTTTGTCGCCTACGTGCGAAACACGTGTCCACAATTTCCATGAACAATTATTTTTCCAAAGGCCGCTAATTTGTGGTAATTGCAAAAATGGTCCATATGTTGGGTCACATACCATATGTCCTCGCCTCCTTCGAATAAGTCGAAGAATTACGACCATGGTATTTCATGGTTCATCACTTGGAGAAAAGCCGCGGCTTTTATCCTCTCCATGGCCGTTAACTAGCCTCACATGACTCCTAATTTATGTAACTAATTAAGCATTCAGCGTTTGGAATGTGAGCGGCCCACAAATAAAAACTATTAACAAGTTGAGAAGCTTGAAGCTTTTTGATAAATTTATGTTTGCACTTATGGTTATGAAATTTTAAAGAAGAAATTTGTCCACGATGATTGAGTGACTAATGATTTATTTGGAAATGCAATTATTGGCGTAAATAAATTAGAGGTGTGGTGTGAATTGGCTAGACTACGTCAACGAATTAAGGGCAAGAAGAGATGAAATTTTTTGTTTATTCAAGGGAAATATTTACCATTCGGCGAGATAAAGCGTGAGAATCTGCAGCCATACCTGCCTGATATAATATTTACTTCCTGTTTCATAAAGCAAACTTAATTGAGAAGGAAAATTCTGGCACCTTTCTCTTATTCAAACAGCTAAGTCGTCCTTTGGAATTGAGCAAATTTGTTATTTATGCATGCGCGTGGCTGGCGGTTTGCTAATCAAACATGTGACTACGTGTTCAGCACGTAAAATCATAAAATTAAACAATGATTTCAAAACTTTTTTATCATCAAAATTTGAAAAAAAAAATTCAATTTACTTAATAAATTATGGAAAATCCCAGAAAAAAACCATAACCACTAATTGTAATAGCAAAAAAATCATCTTTTATCAAAATTACCAAAAAATATTCTCTATTATCTGTTCTTTTTTTGCTTCCCTTTTCTTTCTTATCTCTTTCCTTTTATTTTTTTGTGATTAGAATTTTTTAGATGTTTTTTATTTAATTTCCTGATTTTTAAAAAACCAAACCATTATTTTTTATTTTATCTATATCTTCTTCTCTTTATTCTTCCAATCTACATTTTCCGGTCACTTCTCTTTTTATGTTTTCTCTTTTTGTCTCTTTCTTTTCTAATTGTATTTTTCTTCTTTCTCTCTTTATCTGTTCCATTTTATTTTTAGAATT